ATAATAATGAAATTACATGTTTGGATTAAAGGAAACTGTATTTGTGACAAGGCTTCACTGTGTTGCTTTGACTGTCATTATGCTCCTTATACTAAAGCTTCCTCCCACAAACTGCTGTCTCTGACTCCTAGTATCTACTGGGGGTAAGTCACTATCAGTTATCTGATGGCTTCACCTGAGGACACCTGACACAAAGAATTCATAAAAAAACACATATTCAAAGCCACATGATGAATGACAAAAGCATACCACACATTAAATTACACACCAATTTTTAAAGTAGAATTTATTTTCTTTACCAAAGATTTGTTAGAGATTAAAATCAAATGTCCTTTTAAAAATAATAAGTAGGATAGGATGCCACCAGAGCAACCTCAATGCCTGTGGCTTAATCAACAGCATTAAAATAACAAATACTAATACTAATACTAATAATAAATAAATAAATAAATAATAATAAGAAAATAGTAGGATGACCCACTTGGTGTCTGTCATAATGGCCATATCATTTACCAGGAAGGAAAAGGGAATGACCTTCCCATAGTTACTCCATCTGCTACAAAAGAGCAGTGCAAGGCACAAATGTAACCCAGCAAATATCCAGAGTGTTTGGGTCAAACTTCCATGATTGCTTTCATATTGTGACTTTAAAGCAATGGGTTTTAGAGATGTAAATGGAAAGTTTGAAATTGTGTTTTGCATAGAGCAAAAGAGTTTTCACTGACAGTATGGTAACTAGGCTGCGCTTTAAATGAGCTGCAACTACTGTTTAACTTCCAAAAGTTGTAAGCTTACTGTTTGGAAAAAATGCATGCTCTATCCTGCAGATGCCCACCATTTAAAGCATATTTATCAGGCTTTAAAATGGGAGAAAACATAAGTTCATAAATAATAGATACATAAATATGAAAAACTGGATAAATGAATAATTTCTATACTATTTTCTTCTACATCGCATTTCTATTTTTATATTTCAGCTTCATGCACCGTTTCCATTCTCAAAGTAATGATGGCAAACTTATCTACAGTGAATCGCTTCCTACTCCTGGGGTTCTCGACAACCAGGAGCTGCAGATCCTACATGTTTTGCTCTTCTTGGTGATGTACTTGTTGGGCTTAGCAGGTAACATTATCATCATCATCATCACAATGCTGGACTCACAGCTCCAATCTCCAATGTATTTTTTCCTGAAGCACCTTTCCATTCTCTACTTTTCCTCCCTGTCTGTCACTGTCCCCGAGTCTATTCACAGTTCCGTGACTGGCAGTGGGTACATTTCCAATGCACAGTGTGTGCTTCAGGTTTTCTTCTTCATATGCTTCGCCTGGGGTGAGGTGGCCATCCTCACAGTGATGTCCTATGACCTCTATGTGGCCATCTGCCCCCCATTGCACTATGAGGTCATCATGGCTCCCAGAAAGTGCAGATGGACTGTGACTGCTGTGTGGCTAAGTGAAGGCATCCCAGGAACCTTGTACATAGCTACCACATTCTCTATCAGATTCTGCAGGGCAAAAATAATCCACCAGTTCTTCTGTTATGTCCCTCAGTTGCTCAAGTTCTCCTGCTGTAGTGATTACCTTAGAGTGATTGGAGTGTTTGTTATCATTCTTTGGTCATATTTGTCTGCTTCTTCACCGTCACCCTCTCCTATGTAAAGATATTCTCTACAGTCTTCAGAATGCTCTGCTGAAGGTCAGTCTAAGGTCTTCTCCACCTGTCTGCCCCACCTCTGTGTGCTCTCATTTTTTTTGTTCCCAGCCGCTATTGCATATCTAAAACCAACCTCAGGCTCAACAATTGCTCTAGATCTCATGCTCTCCATGTTTTACACAATATTTCCCCTAACACTCAACCCTGTTATCTAAAGTCTGACGAATGAGACCATTAAGCAGGCACTAAGGAAATTATTTCTAGGTGGAGAATTCATTTGAAAATGATCATTTAAAATTTGTTCTTAGTGTCTGATAACAGCAAACACAAGGAACATTTTAGTATTTTGAATACCTTTAATATGTAATGTTAATAATAATAGTAGTATATCTTCTAGATAAAGTATATAATAAATCCTTTTTGCAAAATAAGTTGTGACTTTTTCCTATGATACTGAATTTGTTTTAGTACTTCCAAGTTAATAGAAGATAAATAATTACAATCTAATAATATAAACAGAGTACTTCCTAACTCTACTGGTTCATACAATGGCCCAAGCATAGATTACCAACAGTTGTCATATGAGTTTTGAAAACATGTTAAAG